GTGTAAACGAGCCGAACACGAGTGAGCCCAGACTTATTGATAATTTGAGCTCAATAAGTATATTTGTGTTCGGCTCATTTGCTTAACGAGCCGAACATGAGCCGTTCACGAAAAAAGAGATGTTTTGACAACCCTAATCACCTAGCCATAAGATATTAAAGATTGGTGTAAGATTTAAAATTTAATATTTATATTAAAACATCATTTGAATCTAATTTAATAATATTTATTCTATTTCCTTAATTAATACTTTTAATTAATTATAAATCTTTGTAGCCTTGTAGTCAATTAAAAATAATACTCATCAAAGATAGATTAGTAGTATGTCGAGCCAAAACGAGCCGAACACGAAGTTCATATTCGGCATTTATATTCGGCTCATTAACTTAGAGAACGAGCTGAACACGAGTTTCTTAACGAACCGAACAACGAGCCGTTCAAGAACAACGAGCCGTTCAAGAACAACGAGCCGTATTGTCAGCCCTAGTGGTGCCAGCTCTCTGCCTTGGGATAATTAGTTCTTGGGGAATTTACATAAGAACCGCAAAATTTCAAGTGTTAAACATGTAAATTCATAAAAAGTTTTGCAACATATGTAAAAATTTTCTGATTAGGACTTTGGAGTTGGTACTTTTAAGCTAAGATGCGTTTAAAATTATTAAATTTATTTTAAGATTTGTGGCGTATACATTTTTTATGGTGGATAATAAATTAAAAAGAAAAGAAAAAGAAAAACATCTCCTAAACATTTCTTATGATTTGATTACGTGCATAATTACCATTCTTGTTTTATTTTTAAAACGCAGTCTCTTTCTCCTTTCATCCTTCTTTGCCTCGGAGGAAGACATATGTGAGATGCTTAGGAAGTTATGCTTTGTTATCTTATCATTTTGCTATTCATTTAAATTTGTACAAATGAGTAGGGTTGTCAAAACGGCTCGTTGTTCGCGAGTACAAATTAGTAGGGTTGTCAAAACGGTTCATTGTTCGCGAACATTCGGCTCGTTCACTAAGTTAGTGAGCCGAACACAAACAAGACGAAAAAGATTTGTTCGTTCGTGTTCAACTCGTTTTCGCTCGAAATACTACTAATCAATTATATATATATATATTTGATGAGTAGTATTTTTAAAAAAAATTAATTGACTACAAGGCTACAAAGATTTATAATCAATTAAAAGTATTAATTAAGAAAATAGAATAAAAATTATTAAATTAGATTCAAATG